TGATGCAGTCACTCCATCATAGAAGGCCATTAGGTTAGTCAGGCAAGATTTGCCCTCGGTGAAGCCATGCTGGCTGTCTCAAATCGCCTCCCTGTCCATGTGCCTTAGCATAGCTTCTAGGAGGATCTGTTCCATGATCTTCCCAGGCACAGAGGTGAGGCTGACAGGTCAGTAGTTCCCAGGGTCCTCCTTTCTACCCTTTTTAAAAATGGGTCCCTTTTTCCAGTCTCTGCGGACTTTACTTGACTACCATGATTTCTCAAATATCATGGAGAGTAGCATGGCAACTACATCAGCTAATTCCCTCAGAACTCTAGGCTGCATCTAATCACGTCCCATAGACTTATGTATGTTCAGGTTCCTCAGGTGGTCTCAAACCTGATCTCTTACAGCAGGAGGGACTTTACTCCCCCTGTCCCTCCACTTGAGAGGTGTGGGAAGAGGGACTGCTAGTGAAGACTGAGGCAAAAAAGTTAAGTACCTCAGCCTTCTCCTTGTCCGTTGTTACCAGTTTGCCACTCGTGTTCAATGGAGGGAGTATGCTTTCTTTGACCTTACTTTTCTGGCTGACATACCTATTGAAGCCCTTCTTATTATACTTTGCATCCCTTCCTGACCCCAACCCTACAGAACCAGGCAATGTCCCTACACTCTTCCCAGGATATTTGTCCCTGCTTCCACTGCCTGTGCATTTCCTTCTTGCCCTTTAGTTTGACCAGCAGGTCTTGACTCATCCATGCCGGTATCTTGCCTTCCTTTCCTGATTTCTTACACATGGGGATCGAGAGAAAAATGATACATGTAAGAAGAGAAATTATCAAAGAAGATGGACACTGGTCAACATTTCCATGTTGATCTTTTCCAAGAGAAAGTTCTACTGAGCATCTGATTGCTAGGCTATCCCCGTCAGCTGTGCTCAGCGTTTCAAGGTTCTGACTGAACCTTGACTTCATCACTGACATCAGAAAGGAAATTTCAGATTTTAGTACCAGAAGATACTATTACACGTCTACACTGATATACTGTGTAATGCAGGGCAGATAATTTTATTAGTGGATGAAATATTTTTTCCTGTTTATTTCAGCATGTGGAGTTGAGAATCCAAGTGTGTAAATAAAGTGAAAGTGCAGAGAAATTTACCTTGCTATCCAAGTCAACATGCAAGTTTGGCAATGATAAAATGCATTTCTTAGGAAAACAGTAAGACAGGTTCATGTCTACTTCTTTGGACTTTCCAAATCCCACTGGAAAGAACTGCAAATTTGGAGGGTTTTTCAATTTTCTGTTAGAAATTTGGATTCTGTTGTATTTATACTATTAAATGGCTACACACTGTGCACTATAAAGTCTGTTCAACTGTACTACCATTCATTCACAAATAAAACATGCTTGCTGCCTTTGAGCTAAAATGTTCCTTCTATACCTCTACTATGCTTTTTCAGAATATTTTATTGTTAACAGCATACATACTCTGCACATTTTTAAACTTACAGCCAAATGCAATTGCTGTTGAAGTAAACAAACTTTTTTTACATTAAAGTATTTAATTAGTGAAACAATCATTATCAATGTAACAAACTGAAAAATACAGCAAACTTGATACAAGACTGAGGTAACAAAATACTTTGCCAAAAACCTAGATTCCAACGCCAGGGTTATGATGGGTGAGACAGTTCACAAGAATTATAGAAAGAATCCTTACACAAATGGCATGCAGTGGACTGCTGGAAAATACAGCCAAAAATAGTGCAACAGTTTTCACACAAAGCAAACCAAAATGTTGAAATTGGTTTACATTATAATGTGACAAGTAAGTCGCAATTTGAAAACTACTTTCTTTGCCTCGTTTTAGTGCTATTTGGAAAAACATGCATTTTGGCACTGAATTACATCAAAATTGCACATTAATAAATTAATAATATTGCCTACATATATTTTATATCTTCACAATTCTGAAAATAGTAATTCTGAGATAATGTTTATTTTTACACAACTATTGCAGTTATTCTCTTTGATGGATGAAAACTTGTATGGTTTGTGATATTTTTGTGAAAATGCTGTATTAATCAGTACTGATATGCAATATGTTGTATTTCAATAGCAGCTTTCAATTCACATTAAAAGTACCAGATGACAGCAAATGGTACCAAATGACAGCATAAAAACCTCAAATCAGCAGCTACAAACTCTTTAATACTTAAAAACTCATTTAAAATTGGTTTAAGATATTTTAATAATATTCTTACACTGACATCATTCTGAATTTTTTTATATTGTGCAGCAATTTCACAATTGTGCTATACTGAAAAGATGTTTACCTGACTATTGTGTAAAACTATTATTTGCTATGTTCATCTTTCTTCTATATAATGCTTTTTACATTCAAATGATAGTAGCGTGAGGGAATTCAAGTTACTTTTGACATATTTCCAAATGCCAAGGTTTCGAGTAGGGTTTGAGAATTGAGTAGGATTGAAGGGTTTAATTTCTCCCCAGATTCATCTTCTGTCAGTGACAAATGACTGGGTATAAGAATTATTCATAAATATTGCCTTTCATTCATGCCATGCTGTTTTGGGGCCCATCATGGTTTCTGGCAAAGATGCTTCCTTTCTAGTTGGGAATCTGTTTTACAAGCAAGTGAAAATGGACCCTTTTGTAACTTCTCCAACAGGCTCTATGGCTTGTAATTTTGAGTAAAAGTGTATTTTTGAAGGCTAGAACACTACCTCTTGTACATACAATAACATATATAACACTTTAGACACCCTTAAATTCTAAAAGCCATTAAATTCTGAGTGTGTACACGCTCATTCTATTGCTACTGTATCAGTCAGCAGTTATTGTTCTTTCCAAGGGAGGCTTGTTAAACATAACTGGAAGTTGTTACAACATCCATTAGTTTATCTCAGTTGCAATATGCTGGAAAAAATGTCGTGAGTCCTCATTGGTGTTCACTTCTACTACACCACATTAGAAATGAGTAGGTATTTACATGCTTCTAATGTATGTACATTTCATGCCAGTAAGTGTTCCATTTTAAATTTAGCTTATATTTAAGACAGATCAGGTTATTCCCTTTTAAGGGGAAAGGGCTACAAATAAAGTAACTTTTAAAAAAACTCTTGACTTCAACAGTCCTGTTTAGGTTAGTGTGTCATCATTTTGGTCACCATTCTGCACATGGTTCAAACCCTATGAATGCTAAAAACACACAATACACATGGTCACAGGTGGCACATTCATTAAAATGGCAGTCCACGTAACACTTGCATCTTCATGAATAATCTCACTGACAACTAACCACAAAAGTCCACAGGTGCAGAATAATTCAGATTATATAATATTCTAACAGTCTGAAGTAATTTACTGGTGACAGGATTTTACCACATTCAAAAGCTTCTACACTGTCTCCAGTGGATGACATTGGAGCATGTATTGGATGCTCTGCCCTCGCAGATGTTTTTCCTAGTTCAAAGTTGTCTTAATTTAGCAAAAAAGGAGAAAAAAAGGTATAAATATATTTTGCATTACCAGTCTTTTCACACAACTCCTGAGCTATCAAAGAAACTTTGTCAACTTTACATACACTTTCACATGTCCCAGGATCTAAATGCAGCTGTCGTCAGGCACTGGTTTTCTTGAAAAGCTGGTATATATTAGGCTTCATTCTCAGGATTGTAACATGAATGCTTAAAATAACACAAACATTACAGTTGGCCTACATTTAACAATACAGGTATTTTTGTTGTTGTTAGAGAAGTTTCAAAATCAAAATTTAGAAAAACATGCAAGTCCACAGAATAAATACTCCTAATGCCAGGGAGCTTGTCCTAATATAGGCTCTGTTCAATTAAACTGACTTCCATTTTTTTGATGGTTTGTAAGCTAGAGGTTGGCTTGCAAATTTCTCCTCTCTGCAATTTTAGGAAACTCATAAGAGGTTTTCCAGTGATTGATGAAGTCTGAATACTGATGCCTTATGGCAAAAGAGTTTCAAACAGAAAAAGTGCTGAACTTAGCATGGCAACCAAAAAGAACTCTGACCACAGGAGTGCTAGGGCACAGCAGGGATACAGCTATGGATGTAGACAGAGTTCTTTCAAAGGAGAAGGCTCAGTTACATTCCTCTTTTTTTTTTGTTCCCTGGACACTGGTGTAGAGGCTTCTTTGTACTTGGCTCCACTGTCAGACAGTCTCACCTAGCTTTCATTGCCATCATGATTTCATAATAGCAGTACCATGTGCCAATACTATATGTCATAAAGGTGCATCATATACTGGAATTGAGTGGAGCTGAGTCATCCACAGAAAGACAGAACAGAAACAATGGTATGGAATCATTCTGAGGAGCCAGGGCCATGTGACATGTAACACCTGATTACCTGCTTCCCTGTACCAAGGGATTTAAGATGAACAACATTCAGACTGAAGAAAAAAACAAACTTGTAAGCAACTATGCCACTAGTAAGAGAACAAAAGATGACCTTTAGCACAACATAAATTTAAACAGCCTTAAATCCATTGTCGGGGCATTCCTGAGTAACATAACTGAATGAAAAGAAAATGAACTGTCCTGTGCCAAAATACATTTTTCCCAAATAGCTCAAATGTGAACAGCAGAATTGTCCAGAGATTTGATACAAAATCTGAGGCAGCCACATTGCCAAGCAACTCAGTGCACTTAGATTATAAAAATGTTGTTCCACAATTTTCTATTCTAATTGACACTTTGCAGCAAGTTAACACTGTCAATCATTCTGTGCATTAGAAAGAATTGAAACCCAACATGGGCCAAATATTCTTCAGTCACACAAAGCAGCTTAACAATAAAAAGAACCGTTTAAAAAAGAATAGGCAGAAGATATGATGCTCAGTTTGTGGTCAAACATCAGTTCATGGCAGTCTCTGACCACAAAAAGTTGAGGGCTCTAGAATCCTGCAGGAGTCAGGATTAATCTTCTGTCCATCTAACTCCATAACCAAGTCAGGATTAATCTTCTGTCCATCTAACTTGTCTGCTTTCACTCAGTGCATGAGACTATATCTGGTCCTAAGGACAACATTCACTTTCTGCTTTTAAAAGCTGTGTCAGAATCACTTTCAAGTTACATAGGAAAGTGCTGAAATATTTGTGGCTGGCTCATGTCAGGAAAACCATTCTCCTCTTCCTCCTTAGAGAACAATAGCCTGTTTCTTCAGTTTGGCACTTGAAGTCGCATCAGGTAGGAGAGCAAATTATTCGAATGACATTAGATTAGCAGGTACCTGGAAGAGAATGTAAATTATTCAGCAGTATAATGCTCCTGAGCTATTACGGCATTGGAAAACTGCAAGATTACAAAATAAGAGTGGGCTAATCATTTATTATCCAATGTGAAAAGTGTAATCAGTCCCAAACAGGCCCAAGTTATGGCTAACCCCATAACTGAAAGGAAAGATAAAGACTCAGATGATTTTCTTATTCATGTACCAAATCCAGCCAAAGTATTCTAAGAAGTCATCACTATGCACAGGGGGGGATGTGTGTGTGTAAAGAAGATTCTCGAGCTGCATCCTGTTTTAGGTCCTATATGGATCAGCATCCTGTTAAGATAACCTTTGGAAATCCTTTTAAGAATGAACATTTTCCTCAAGAGAAGAATGAAGCTGCTATATAAAGGACAAACATAGCATTTTATAGGACACTGTCTTCAATGGCACTTACAGACCCAGTCATCGGAATAAATGCTAGCATGTTTGCTTTCTTTGTCCATGAGAAAGCAGAAGTAGAGCTGAGTAGAGATGGGGTTACCATCTAGCCCAGCTAGAACGCAATCTAGCCCAGCTAGAACGCAATCTGGCCGCTGTTGTTAAAGACAACAAAAAAAGTTTTTACAAATATATTAATGACAAGAAGAGAGCCAAGGAGAATCTCCATCCTTTATTGGATGCAAGGGGGAACATTGTCACTGAGGATGAGGAAAAGGCTGAGGTACTCAATGCCTTCTTTGCCTCAGTCTTTAACAGGCAGACCAGTTATCCTCAGGGTACTCGGCCCCCCGAGCTGGAAGACGGGGACGGCGAGCAGGATGAACCCCCCGTAATCCAAGAGGAAGCAGTCAATGACCTGCTATGCCACCTGGACACTCACAAGTCTATGGGGCCGGATGGGATCCACCCGAGAGTGCTGAGGGAGCTGGCGGAGGTGCTCGCCAAGCCGCTCTCCATCATTTATCAGCAGTCCTGGTTAACGGGGGAGGTCCCAGATGACTGGAGGCTTGCCAATGTGACGCCCATCTACAAGAAGGGCCGGAAGGAGGATCCGGGGAACTACAGGCCTGTCAGCCTGACCTCGGTGCCGGGGAAGAT